TAACCAGACGCGATAAATCGATCACAGAACATCGATTGCGTGCCTCCGGACCAGCTGGTAAGTGAAGACTAGCCCGTAGCTGAATTTGCGTACCTTAGTCCGAAGTCCGGACTAAGTGGGGACCAGCCAGTGAGCTACAGTGGCACAGGGAGAGCAGATACAGAAGGACAGTTCTCTACCTGTTAAACAGTGCAATGAAGTAGAGGGCTGCTGAAAAATGAGCGCAGGGTGAAGAGTAAAAAGCCTCAGAGACACAAGTGCCACCTTTTTTGTCTCTATTACAGGATGTTAATTTATGTCCAGGCAGAATGATTTTGTGCCTTCATGCCATGCTCAGGACACCACCACATGTCATGGTGCTATAAGACCAAAGAAAAACAAACATTCAGGACTCCTATTAATCCTACATACTGGACAAACATATGGAACTCAAGCGCAGGAAGTTTTTCTTGGAGCAGTATCCATAGGGGACCGCCTCTGGCGCCCCTGGAGTGGCGCGCGCGCACACACACACAACACAGAGCGTGATATAAGGGGCGCTGCCAGCTCCCCCCACCCTCAGTTCCTTCTTGCTGGAAACTCCGACAGTGAGGAAGGAAGGTGGGTTGTGGAAGGGACATGAGCAACACATCTGGAACAACACCAGGTATGGAAAAGGTAACTGTCTTTTCTTCTTCAGGTGCTTGCTCATGTCCATTCTATATTACATGACTCCCAAGCAGTGCCAACAGAGGCAGGTAGGCGTTCATGGACATGTAGATTGCAATACAGCTCTGCCAAACCCAGTGTCTGGCTTGCTTAGTGATGGCATAGTGCGCCGTGAACGTGTGAACTGAAGACCACATCAGGGCTCTGCACGTGTCCTGGATGGGAATGTGCGCCAAGAAGGCCGCCGAGGACGCCTGAGCTCTGGTCGAGTGGGCCCTCATGATTGGCAGCAATGGGACCTGTGCCAGCTTGTAACAGGTCTGAATGCGCAGGGCTGCCCCGCTTCCCCATCCAGAGCGCTGTCTGGGACACCGAGACCCCGGCAATGCTCTCAGGGCCGGAGCGCCGGGAGCCGGCCATCCCGCGGCCCCGTTCCACCGGCCAGCCCGCGGCCCCGTTCCGCCGGCCGGCCGGAGCGCCGGGAGCCGGCCAGCCCGCGGCCCCGTTCCGCCGGCCGGCCGGAGCGCCACTTTTGGGAAGCGGCCACTTCCCCTGAACCCTGCTAGCTACACTACTGGGTGGGTAGAAAGAAACTGGAAGGTATAACTTTGCGCCACAGTACTGAGGACCCAGCGGTCTGAAATTATAGTGGTCCATGCGGGGAGGAAAAAAGAAAGGTGGTTGGAAACAGCGGGAAAGACGGATCCGGGGCATAGTCTGTTACGTTGCCCTTGAGCGCATCCTCAAAACACTCGCTTGCCTCCCTGCTTGAGCCCGATTGGGCAGGGAATGGAGGGGTGTGGCCTGGGTGGCACTTGTAGCTCCTACTCTTCTTTTGGGGCAGCTCCTGCCGGGTTTGGCTCCCTTGACCCTGAGATGGCTGCGGTTTGAACCGCTTCCAGGCTGGACTGGGGACATACAGCCCTAGAGTTTTCAGGGTAGTGCGGGAGTCTCAGTCCATGCAGCTTACTGTCAAGTCTGCTCTGCAAACGGCTTGGCCGTTGAAGGGGAGGTCCTGCATCGACTGCTGAGCCTCAGTTGACAGACCTGAGAGGAGCAGCCAGGATGCCCTCTGCTTGGAAATGGCCGAGGCCACGGTGCGAGCCATGGAGTCTGCTGCACCTGAGGCTACTTGGAGTGCTGCTCTGGCTGCAGCCGTGCCCTCTTTGAGGATCGCCCGGAACTCCCTTCCTTGCTCCTTCGGGCAGCAAGACCTCAAATTTGGCTATGGTCTGCCACATGTTGTAGTCACAGTGGCAAGGAGGGCTTGGTGATTGGCTACTCTCAACTGAAAGCTGGAAGACTAATACATTTTCGCCCAAACAGACCCAGTCTCTTCAAGTCTTTATTCTTGGGCGTAGACCCAGGTTAACCAGAGGGAGAGGCAATGGCCTCAACTATGAGGGAGTTTGGGGCTGGGTGAGTATAGAGATACTCATTGCCTTTAGCTGGCACAAAATATTTGGGCTCAGCCCTTTTTGAAATGGATGGCAGGGAGGAGGAGGTTCGCCATAGGGCATTAATAATTTTCGAAAACCCTTCATGTAGGGATAAAGCCACGCTGGCAGGTGCCATGGAACAAAGGACGTCAAACAGTGAGTCCAACAGCTCCTCAAGTTCCTCTGCCTGGAGCCCCAGATTAGAGGCGACCCTCTTCAAAAGCTCCTGGTGAGCCTTGGCATCATCTTGTTGAACTGGGTGAGGGGGACCCCATAATAGCTTCGCCCGACGACGATGAAGCCAGTGCCAAGGGATCTACCACATGCCCTGGTGGTCCAACTGGCTGCTCCCCTAGGTCCACATGGGCTTGGGGGGGGGCGGTCTTTCCCTGTAGGGCCTCCACTTCTGGAGGAGGGCGGGATGCTGCAGCCGATGGCTTATCTGAGGCCCCCGCCACTGACTGGGCGGCCTATGCAGGCTGGGTAAACCCCTAAGGTTCCAAGGGTACCACGCCACGGGCGATTGGCCAGGGGGCCACGGGGTCAGTTGCAGCGCCGATTATGTGGACGGTACCACTGGTGCCGGGTTTGTCCCGCTAACAAGGACTTCTGTTCAGTGCCAGAGTCGTAAGCATAGCGGTTGCTGCGGAGTGACTATGACCGGCTGCCCTCCTCCATGCGGTGCTGGCCACTGTGTCTCAACGTCGACCTGTCTGATCGAGACGAGTTCCTCACGCGGGCCCTCAGGGATCTTCGGCATCCGGCAGACCGGCATTGGTAGACTGGCGATCTACACCTCATGCTGCTTAACCGGTACTGGGACCGGAAGTCAGAGTGGGCTGGTCGTTGGGAGAATCTTCCCGATCGTGGGGATTTGCATCTTGGCAACAGGTACCGGCAGGCGGGTGACCGGTGGCTCCATTCAACCAATTGGTCACGTGATAGATGCTGAGGCATTGGAGACGTGAGGGGTCGGTCTCGATGCTCATACTAGGGGGCGCATGCCTCTGCAGGTTTGCTCCAAGTTACCGGCGAGCTGTGCCTCAAATCCAGCTGTCAGTGCCCAGGGTCTGGAGACCTTAGAGGGCTTCTCTGAGCCTGCCTCCCTACTTCCGAAGCATGACGGCTCCATGCAGGTGAGCGCTGGTGGGATGTTCCCCATGATGGGGAGCGGTGCCGCTCAGGTGGGGACACGCAGAATGGTCCCAAGGCGGATTTACCCTTGGACTTGGGTACTGCTGGAGCTGGTGTGGGTGACACCAGTAGCGTCAGGGCCTCGGG